GTTTTAGATTTCAACATTTTTCTTTTCTCTTTTCTCCCCCCCCCCCCTTGGTACTGGGGATTGAACTTACAACCTTGTGCTTGCCAGGCAGGTGCTTATGTTACTGAGCTAAATCCTCGGCCAGGATTTTTTGAATTTTGGAATATTTGCTTATATATGTATATCTTGGGAATGGAACCCAAATCTTAACACAAAATTCACTTACATTTCATGGAGCTACTTCTACTCCTAACCTGATGATCATTTTATACAGTATTGTAATAATTTTCTGTATGAAACGAAGTTTATATATCAAATTGACATAGCTGAGTCACCCCCCTCTCCCCGGGATGCTGAATAAACTGTATTGTGTACATTTTGATTGTTTTTATTGTGACCTATCATGTGAGGTCAGGTATAGAATCTTCCACTAGGGGCATCATGTTAGCGTTTCTCAAAACATTTCAGATTTTGCATCAGTTTGAAATTCAGATTTTCAGATTGGGGTGGTACAAGCTGTGTGTGTACTCCCTGGGTCATTGTGAGGACAGAGAAGCAGTGGTGGCAAACTTATGGCCCGAGTGCTACAGCTTAAAGGTTCACCATCACTGATAAGGGAACCACAAAGTACCTAGAGCACTGCTTGCCATTTAATAAGCATGTAAGTATGGGCTGTCGATATCACACGGCATGATTATAATTGTTGTTATCCATGTATCAAGAGCCTGGCATACATTAGTTGATCAACAGATTAACTTTATTATTACTTCTGTTATTTTTCCTATCCAACCACTTGAATTGTTAGGAGTCTAAAAGGAAAGTAATATGATTGCCAGTCCATGTTTTCAGTTTAATTATACAGGTGTCAAGGAGGTCTTTCCAAAGTTTTATTCCATCAGGAGCTCAAAATTTAATCATAAAACACAGGAAAATGTGTGGGTGTTTTTTTTTTTTTTTTCCTTTTTTGGTGTTCCTTAGATCTAGAGTAAATTATCTGACCTTGCTCGAGGCCTTTTGAATCATCTGTCCTAGGGACGTGATCCATCCACCATCTGCATTGGTGAGCATCCCCAGTGAGTTTCTTGTTCTCTAAAGTCTAAGAGCAACAGATGCACTCTACCCACAATCCTCACTGCCTTTTATTACCAAGGTGGGACAGACAAAGAATTGGGCAATCTGTCTGACAGGCTGTTTTAGCCCACGACATACTAAACGCTGTTATCCTAGTGACTGCATGAGTTAAGCAAAAATACAGATAGTTCCAGAAAGCAAAGGGTCAGAGATCAGGGATTGAGGAGGCCAAAGTACTTCGAGAGCATTTTAGTCTGTAGATATGACTGGCAGAGTGTTGTGAAGTACTGGCTCCTCTGAAAAGTGCTAATGTCACATTGTTAGACCGGTGTCGCGAGGAAGACTCCAAGGGCCTCGCTCTCATGTAAAAACAATGGGGTTTTTATTATTTCGTGTACACGGGGTCCTCCAAACAGGTGGAAACGGAGAACCCTGAGTTGGGGCAAGGCTGGTGTTTTTAAGGATGAAAACCGCAAAGCAAGCAAGCATTGTTACAGAAGCCAATCATAGCAGTTAGAGCAGAACAGTTGGTGATTTGTCCATTTGTGATTGGTCAGATCATGAGGGGCGACCAGTGGGTCAGAGTTGATTAACTGTCTTGTTTTGCACAGCTTATTTTTAGGTCACCTAGCTCCTGTGTGGCTTGGTTCTGACATACTTCCCAATCTTGATTAGCATAGTCAGCAGACTTTATCTCTGAGTTTCCTGACATAATTACCTTACTTTAGCACCACAACCTTTCTATTTGTAGAGGGCAACAATGGTTAACATATCAATTGGGTAAGATTTTACAATTCTTTACAGAAGAGAGCATTGATTAACATATCAATCTTTTACCCAGGGGAAAAGGAAGACACACATTTACAGTTACAGGTATTACTATGATATAAACGAAGCTATTTCTGTGAAGAATGTACAATCTAATACAATCTGATGCAATTAACACAATTTGTGACGGGGCTACCGGATAGGAAAGACCCAGGATGTCAGGAGCTAGTACCTCAGGCCTTTGTTTTATGGCCTTTAGGAAGTTAAAACTTAACCTAGTTGGATTTGAAGGGAGAAGGGGAGGGGAAGCAGCAGATGAAACGAGCTTTCTTCGTCTCTTCAACATCTTGTGTATAACCCATCCTGAGTGATGGCTGGGAAAGAATGCCTTTTGAATTTTTATGCAGGGTTAAAATGAGGAAAGTCCATTTCTGCCTTCAGAATTCAGAGCTGCTGGTACAAAAGGTTACTGATGCCAGTTGGTAGCCTTGCAGAAGTCAGAGAGGGAGTATTAAAATAGCAACTTTTTTCAAAGCACTAGATTCACTTAATCTCAATCTTTTCATCTTGCTGCCATGAGATCTTAAGAAAGAAGGAATGTAAAAAGGGAAAAATATCAAGACATTTTTCTGCTTTCTGCAGGATTAAGGCTGGAGGTAGTTACCTTCAAAATAAGGTTGAAATAGTGTTTTCGTGCAGTGAGTGAGAGGATTAAGTGCTAACTGTGGGAATATGGTTGTGTTATGTAGCTGCCTGTAGAGATGACTGTTCAATCCTCACAGAGCATGGCTATTTCAGACAAAACCAGTGAGTTGATTTTTGGGATCCAACCGTATGCTACAATAGGGTCTGTTTGGGATTCAAGATTGGGTGACTGAAGGTGCCTGAAGCCAATCCTGAAAGCAGGGTAGAGAGGGTGTACACAAGATACTAGTCTGGTTCTGTATATACTGCATATGTGACAACAAAACAGCATCCATATAGGTTGAAAAATAATCTGAGAGTCAGGTATTGTAATACCAAATGATGCATATTGTAATCCAAGTATTGTAATCCATTTTCCAATCTTCCCCACAATTCAGAAAGTTATATTTGTAATCCCATTGAGATTAATTGGAATCCCAGTGAATTCCAATCTATCACCTGCAGTGCAACCCACATCGAGAGTAAAGACACCAAGACATATTCAAAGTTTAGAGCAGATAAGGGGTCCTAAGCCCAATCCAAGTGAGGATATGTGGACAAAGACTCTAACCCAAGGTCTCTCCCAGAATTTATTATCTTGTCTAGGAGGGGGTGACTCAAGGATGAGTGACAGTGAGGATGGTGGGAACTACATGAGTAACTTGGGCTGGCTGGCCAGGTAGGGAGAAAGCATCTTTGCAAAATGCAGGGAAAATGACGTGTAGAAGGATCAATCAGCATAATTCAGTTAAGGTAGCAATTGAATTGTTTTTGGAGGCTGTTGGTTCAGTTTCTGATATATAACTTTTGTACCCTGGGAAGTTATAGCCTCTTTATCTTGAGGCTTGTATCCAGTAGACATTTCTGGAGCTGACTGGCTCTGCCATACCACTGTGCTCAGATCTTTTACGGAGAGCATTATGTGAGGAAACAGGAGACTATCAGAATGGCCCTAAAGATTACGTATCAGTAGTTCAGCTGGCCTTATTTGCATTGCCTAGAGCCCATTGAAGAGAAAAGGAAATACCATAGCCAGCTCTGTACATAGCAGTATATAAAAATAAGATTCAATTTAACTAATGTTGCAGCAGTTCTTCTGCATTCAAGGAGAAGTGCCCATATATTCTTCTACAGTCGGGTGCATAGAAATCATTTGAAAGTGATTAAAAATAAATTGATTACCTACATAATTAAGGATTGAAATTTTAGGGACTTTGCATTCATAGCAAGTAGAATATGAGAAATCAGTGAAGAATTGACAGGAGAGATCATCAGAAAAGATAGAAATGGTCCCAGGACCATATCTATTATAGAAATCAAGAAAAGTAAATTTTTCAAAAAGTGTTCTTTGGTATTGAAAGCAGGAAGAAATAAAGAATAAAGCATGAAGGGAAGAGGGTACAGATCTTGGATTTGCTAAGTGCAAATAGGAATTCAGAAAGGAAGTATTTTTTCATAAAATATATTAAACTCAGGAATCCTCAACCTTTGCACTAATGACATTTGGAACTGGATAATTCATTGTAGTGAGGGCATCGTATGCATTATAGGGTGTTTAGCATCATAACTGCTTCCCTCTTAAAGAGAGTAGCACTGGAAATCAGTTGTCTTCAGAGGTGATTAGATATCTCCAGTTAAGAAGCACTAACTTAGGTAATTATTCATGCCCACTCAGTACATGCCACACATTAGGCACTACAAGGCATTAAAAATATGACATGTTTTCACTATTAAGAATATATTCTATTATTCCTAAATTGAGTTATTCTGTTATATCTACTAACACATATGTGTATGTCTACACATGCCCACATATGCATATATGCATATATTTTTTACATATATACACATGGTCATTATTCTACAAGCTAACATTCTATCAACTTAATTATGAACAATGTTAGAAAGTAGTAAATTGGGAATTCTATTGTCCTTGTGCTAGTTTTATCACAGATCAATATAGAAAGTTTGTTTATTGATCTTTGGCAAGATTGGTACAATTTCCAGATTAAATTTTGTGTGTGCAGCAGAGGACCCAATTATTTTTTGCTCTCTCACTTCTTATGGGAAAAAGTAATCTTCCTGATCCACAGGCATGTTATAAAAACTGTGGGGTTTTTTTTCAAATGCAACTTGAAAAGTTTATCATTGGCTAGAAATTACAATGCTGTATATCGAAAGTGTTCCACCAAGTTTTTGTGCTCTTAGTAAAAGGAAGATGGCTATTTTGGATTCTAGTGTGCTTTAGAAACAACCAAATAAGCATAACAGTTGCAGTAAATCTTCTATCAAAAGAAGTAATTTAATGTGACAGGGAGTGTGACTCAGTAGTAAAATGTTTGCCTATCGTGTGTAAGCCCAGGCTTAATCCTCTGTGCCTGGAGCAAACTATCATTTTCCTTGTGTGGGAACAAAATGGAAAAATGTTTCACTGTTTGGGACACGAAATAAAACCATGACTGTGGATACTAACATGGAGACCCTCATTTTCTTTGCAGACTGCATCATCTGCTATTAAAGGTGCTATTCAGCTGGGAATAGGATACACAGTGGGGAATCTCACTTCCAAGCCGGAACGCGATGTTCTTATGCAAGACTTTTATGTGGTGGAAAGTGTGTTCCTACCCAGGTAAAAACCTTTGTGTTTGTGACTTCTCCGTGCTAAGAAACCTTCATTATAACTTCCCTATATTGAAGGACTTTTCTGCTATGCGTGCATTTGCAAGTACCACTGCCTATGTTGTCTCTACCAAATGGTACTTCTTGTTGCAACAGGATGGCTTGCAGTTTTTATTTGGAGGTGGTAAGTGGAATTTTTTCATGGCCAGTTGTAATTACTTGTGAGGAACACAGGGAAGACCACATAGAGAACCATTCTGAGATTCAGTGGGGAAGGGTGTGGTGATCACTGACTAACGTCTCCCCTGAAGTTAGAGAAAGAGCCTTCCAGGAAGCAGCAGGTGGTGCCATGGCTTGCTGTCTGTAACTTAAAAGAGCCTTCCTTCTGAGTTCAGTCCTGTTTTCTCATGACTGCGACTTAACTTGCTTCTAGAAAAACATATGAGAAAAACCATACGTGCTGTTTTGACATTCTGTTTGTAAAAACATGAACTACCCATGCATGTTGCTTCTAGTTTATATCAGTCTGGGTAGAAAAAAATCAATTGTTTCAGGACAAATACATCTACATATGGATAGTGGTGATGATTATACAGCAATATGAATGCACTTAATGACCAAAACTATATCCTTAAAGTATAGCTATGTGTGTATTTTACCACAATAGAATAAGTAAAAATTTTAAAAGTCATTACTACCTTAGTATGAAAGAGAAAAAAAAGCAATCATAATCACATTGGAAGTGTCATAATTGACAGGATTTTTTGAAGAAAATTGATTACAACATAAAAGTAGAAGTATTCCATGTGGGGACTTGGCAGAAATCATTTTGTCTTTGGGGTTATGAGGATTAACTTTTCAGATACACTTATATTTACACTCTTTCTTTCATCTCAAAATAAGCCACTTTTGTTATGTGTTAATGGACTGAGTGAGAAAGGCTAGATGTCTCTCTTACCTTGAATATTCTCCTTGCCTTATTTTAAAAAAAAAAAAAATCTTGGGGAGAATGATAAGCAAACATATAGCTCTTTGTTTTGGTACCACTTATATTTGGGTAATTTTCCACATAGTCCCCAAGGAACCCATAAATGTTAAAATCAGCTGTGAACCCAGATAGCCTAGTTTTACTTTAAACGCCCTTAGCTAGAGAATAAAACAGGGCCGTGCAAAGTTTTCAGGTTTACTTCTCTAAGGCTCTTCTAGCAGCAGTAGAACAAGATTCAGACAGAAGTGGGCATCTGCGAGGCCCAGAAGTCAGTCCTGCTGATAGCACTGATCTTCTTTCTGTACCTGGGAAAACTCTCTCTATTTGTTTTGTTTTGTTTTGTCCTGGTTACTGGGGATCGAACTCACGACCTCGCACTTGCCAGCCAGCCACTTGTGCTGCTAAGCTCTATCCTGGCTCTGTGTTTGTTTTTAACAGTCTATTTATCATTCCAAGAAAAAGTGCATTAGTGACATTTGTTTCTCTTGAAAGCCCTGAGCTCAGGAGTTCATCATCATCTTTTGGGGTGACGTAGGCTTATCATTCCTGCAGATGTGTCTGCAGGATCTTCGTGCTCTCATGGTCTTCTAGGTCCTATACCCAGACATTTCAAAATTATGTTTTTCCATTGGCTGTAACGAGCAAGAAGCATGAAGGACTACAGGAGGAGGGTGCCAAGAGTGAGTTCAGGGTTTTATGGGCCATTTAAAGCTGAAGGCGAGGTGCTCCTTCCTTACAAAGGTGCTCTGTAAGGACCTTGTTCCTCGCTCATCTCTTCTATTGTCAGCATCCAGTCAGCATGACAGGCACTTGGGGAATGGAAGACCCAAGCATAAGGTCCCCAGAATTGCAGCATCAAAAACCCTGGGGACTCACTAGATACGCGGAATATTGGGCTCCACCATAAAGGTATTTGTGACTGTCTCCATTCTAAGAAACCTTTTTGCTATGTTTTAACAAGGCAGCTCTATCAGTGCAACTTAACAGCTCTATGAGTGAAACCCAGGAATCCATTTAAATAAGCAGTGGGCTCTAAGCACATGTAAGTTTGAGAACCACTGGCACCTTGCATATTACTTCTCATTTTAGAATGTTAATCTTTCTGATAGTTATCAAATTTTGTTGGAGTTATTACATGATTCATACAATTAAGAAAATGTCAGATTATTTTAAATTGATATCTTAATTTTTTTTTTTTTGTCTTTTTCCTTTTTATCGGTACCAGGGATCGAACTCACGACTGCCTGCTTGCAAGGCAGGCGCTTATGCCGCTGAGCTAAATCCCCAGCCCCCGATATCTTAAATATTGAAATGATATCTATTAGCACCTACAAAGATAATTGAAAAATATAGTAAATGTTTCAGTTTAAAAATCTATGACAATAAAATACACATTTCTATTAATCTCCCCTTAAAATATTCTCCCCTGCTTTAAACACACTTAGCCCATTCTTCTTGTCACTTTATAAGCGGTTGTAGAAGCCTACTTTTGTGAATGCTTTATAAGGATTGATCAAAAATACAGTGAATGCTGCCACTGAGTGCCATCCAAAGAAAGGCAAGATCATAAGAACATTACAGTGTGTTTTCATCCATCTTACTCACTAGATTTGGCACCCTGTAACTTCTGGCTCTTCTCCAAGTCAAAATTGCCATGAAAGGTAAACATTTTGAATCAATTCAGAACATGGAGGCAGCCACAATAGTGCAACTAAGATCCTTGAGAAAAAGGATTTCCGTAACTGCTTCAGAAAGGTCCTCGTGGGCCCGGGATATAGCTCAGTGGCACAGTGCCTGCCTAACAAGTGCAAGGTCATGAGCTCAATTCTTGATACAAAAAAAAAGGCCCTTATCAGTTTAAGAATTTGAAAGCATTTTCTGAGTACAGTTATCCTTCAGTATCCACTGTGGTTTAGTTCCAAGACCACTGGAGATAAAAAAAAAAATTCAACACTCCAGTTCCTTGAATAAAATGGCATAGTATTTGCATATACAGTAACTGATACCCATGCTCCTGTACACTTTAGGCACTTACAATACCTTATCCAGTGTAAATGCCGTGTTAGTTGGTGTTATGCTGTACTGTTTAAGGAAAAGTGCCCCCAAAAAATCCAATGTATATATACTACTGATAAAATTTTTTTCCAAATATTTTTAATCCCCAGTTGGTTGAATCCATGGATGTGAAACTGTTGGAGCTGGTGGGGGGAGGGGTAACTGTGCACCCCTTTTGTTCATGGATAATATATTATAAATCTACTGTGCCTTTATAATAAAGAATATTGCTGGGCTTGGTGGCATCTTCCTGTAAACCCAGCTAATTGGAAGCCTGAGCCAAGAGAATCACAAGTTTGAGGTCAGCTTGGAGAATTTTGCAAGATTCTGCCTCAAAATAAAAAAATAAAGAGGGCTGATAATACAGCTCCAGGTTAGAGCTTTTGCCTAGCATGCAAGAAGCCCTGGGTTTCATCTGCAGTACCATGAAAGAAGAAAGAATGAAAGAAAAGAGAAAGAGAGACAGAGAGAATATGATGACACTTTTCCTTCAGAAACAGTCAGAGTTCTGAACCTGTGACCTTGTTCTCCATCCCATGCCCCATGGTGGCAGCGGCAGACTGACCCCTGCATGAGGACGGGGTTGCTGACTCCACATTATTTAGACACATCCACTATCACAGTGAAAATACATCATTTTAGAATATCTACGGCTTTTAAATGTCAATTGGCACATTTAATTCAGACCAAACACTGTATTCCAGCAAACACTATATTTCTTGTTTAAAAAACTTTCTGTTGATGTGAAAGTAAAAGAAACTGATGTTGATCATGCCCACTGGACTCCGTTTCTTCGTGAGTTTACCTAAGGGATGAGGCACTCTTTGTGCACAACTGCACATTTCACATCTGTCATCCCTGGGCTCTCCCACGACATCTCCTAGATACAGAGCAATCAATAAGCCGCCACAAGGTAATGAATCAATTGAGCATCTTCTTTGTGTTCATGTTTTCATAAGTATATGAAAATTAACAATTGTGCACCTTATTATATATCAGTTATACCCTGCCCCATATTTGTAAGCAGATCTATGGAACAGGTTAAAGGTAGGCAGGCAGGACAGGCCTTAGTTATAAACAACTGAGACATCCTGCAGTCTCTGCTTGCTCTAAAATTCAATGATTCTCTCTTAATCACAGAAAACTAATTACTTAAAGTAGTTTAATTTACTACTTCTCCAAAGCTGCAGAATCTGCTTCCCATAGCAACCAAATTCATTGTTTTTTTAAAATTTATTTTGAATTTTCCCAAGTTATTTTTAGGTATATGTTTATTCTACAAATCATTTCATTTCGTAGATGGAAAAAGTCTTGGATGTGATTAAGATTTGAGGGAAGATATAAAAATCCCTTTAAACTCTGGTTCCATGATCTTCCATAGTTACAAAGTACATGAGGAGAAAACCATACACATATTTTAATTTTTTGAGCCCAAATTCTGTTCTGTGGCCAGAAGCTCAAGCTTGTAGGTAAATTTTCATGAAATATCAACCAGAAAAGAAGAAAAAAGATAGTTTATAGTGTTCATACCACCTAAGAACGAACATGAAGTGGCAGAGAGACAAAAATTTTAAGTACCAACTATGCCCGTGTAGTTTTGTTTTTATAGTAATTATTTATGTAATGTGTGATATTAACCTGTTATTATCTCTCATCTGCACACACAAAAATATCCGCTTGTCATATGAAGCATTTAAAACCCTAACACAGTGATGGTGAGCCTTTTAGAACTTTCAGGGATGCAAAAAGCCCACTGAGGCTTCATGCCATAGGTTCACGACCAGAGCCGTGGCACATTAGGTCACTTAACTCAAGAGTATATATACAGTTAATAAGAGGTAATGCTTAACCCAAGAGTATATATACAGTTAATAAGAGGTAATGCTTAACCCAAGAGTATATATACAGTTAATAAGAGGTAATGCTTAACCCAAGAGTATATATACAGTTAATAAAAGGTAATGCTA